GGTTGCGTCGATGGCATCTCCATATGGTCAAAGAAATTTGCAGATGAATGCCTTCCCCTTGAACTGGACGCGGTGTTGCCATACAGATTGTTCGTGGACCCACCTCGGTATATATCGTAAGGAGTTACGGATGAAATGTCTCCCCATTATGGCATTAAAATCATTACACATTACTGTAGTCGGGCTGTCAACTTGATCAACTTGTTCAGCCAGCCCATAGTGTGAGCTTAAAGATTGACCCCGAACAGCACGCACTTGAACAAAATGTGCATACATCTCAATAGCGGCGTCTAAATAATTACTTTGAGCTTCAACCATCATTTGAACATCATCATTGTTCGAAAGTTCGAACGCTGTATAAGTTAATGGCAACAATGATGTTGGAATCTGTACTGCAACGACGACATTCTTCTGTTACTTCTAACATGAATCTTCCTCGAAATCTTCGTTATCAGCTCCTCAAGAGTTATGTTTCTCTTGAATGATATTTTAACATGCTCATTTGATACGAAAACAACGTCGGTTTCACCTTCTCGAATTTCACCATCATAATAAACAATAGTTGAAAGTCGCGCCATTCTTTGAGTTTAAAAGTGCGGTAATATTATATATGCAAAAAAATAACTTAAACAAAAGTAATTAAATAAATTATATATGAATGAAAATATAACACAAATTTTTTTTACACATCAACGTAAATAATTTTATATTATTACCTGCACCGCAAAACTATTTCGACGTATGCTCCCGCTTTTCAATTTTAAAAACATAAAAATTAATTAAAAATAATTAGTATAATATTTTTCAAATAATAATAATAAACAATAAGTATAATTAAAAAATTATAATAAAATTACATTATAACGAAAAATCGCACGAACTTCTAAATCAAATATAAGAAGATTGCCAGAATTATTACTCGTTGACGAAATTGTTGTATTAATTTATAAGAGATGAGAGATGCGAGAAGATGTGAGGAGAGATGCGAGAACGGGAGGTATTTATAAACATATAAGGCGCGGTACCTGCACCGCGTTATATGTAATTATTATATAGCGCGGATCAGGGACCGCGTTAAATATAATTTTGGTACCCCTACGTGGCGTATAGCGCGGAGCAGGGGGCGCGCTATACCCCACGTGTAACCCAGTCAGTGTATAGCTCGGTACAGGGGTGAGTTATACTCCACGTGGCGCCAAATCAGCATATAGCGCGGTTCAGAAGACGTGCTTTATTGCTACAGGTGTTAGATCGAGAAATATAATCTGACCGGTATTAGATCGATATATATACCAATCACCAGTAATTTTTGGGGAAAATCGCCTCCCAAACATACACTGAATTTAAAAGCGTAAACAACAAATCATTGGATAGCAATAAACACACGATGCAAGACATAAATATAAGATATGATGTCTTCGTTTTTTTTTCATTTAACTTTTTATGTTATATTCGAATATAATGTACTCAATCATTCATTCAAGTAGCTTGAACTTGGTCCATGATCCCATCTATGGTTCATCACCTACTCTAATTTATTAGACCTTATTGTCTTTGTCCAAGTAATGAAATACTAGCATCATGATAAGTTTAAGTTTGAATTTAGATGTTATGAAGAAGAACATGCTCAGGTTTTATGAGTTTTAGATTAAGAGAAAAAAATTGTGAATGAAGAAGAATAAGATGACTTTTAGAGTTACTAGGTTTATGGGGAAGATGAAAGTGTTTTAAATATTTTATGTTATTTATAATCCAGTGTTTCCTTTTCCTAGGAACTGAACGTGTATTACGTTTCCTATAAACTACTTAAGAAGCATATAATATTATAGTAATACAATTTCTTCTTCTCTCTCCGTTTCTTTAAATCAAGTTGGAATCTCTAACATCATCCGATTAACCTTTTTATTTAATGATTGAGTCATTTCATTTCTATTCTCTTGCCTTTTTCTTCAACATTAGCCGCTTGCAAAGCTTTCTTTATTCATTTCGTATGTGACATGTTGTAATCTCTGGCCTTCGCTTTCCAGGTAGAGTTCTGGGTTTTTTTTATTTCTTTTCCCTTTTCTCGTGTGTTTGCCTATCTGAGTATTTCATCAATTGTCTATCTTGGCTTGTATCAATTATATAGTTTGCTATTAAATGGATTGGTCTTAGATTGAATTATCTGATTTTCCAGATTGTCAATCGGTGGTATAGGGAGTAGATTATCGTCTTCTGCTCACCCAGTTTTTAGTTTTTAACTTTTTTTTCCTTCTCATCAGCTTGTTCCTTTCTGCAGATTCATGAATTTCAGGTTTCATTTTCTGTTCTCCTGTATCTATATGCTTTCTAGGCTTTAAATTTTTTGGGGTTTTAAAGCTTTTATTGATTTATACATAAATCAACGGAGTATTATCATTTGAAACTCCGAAAAAATGATTGTTCATCAGTATTTAAGTGTTAACAGACCCTGTCAGGTGATCAACGGAGTATTATCATTTGGAACTCCGAAAAAATGATTGTTCATCAGAATTTTAGTGTTAACAGACCCTGTCAGGTGGTCAAAATTGATTTATCGGAAGCTAAAATTCATTTCTCCCACTTTTGATCCTTGTTCATTTCACTGTAAACGGTTGGGGAAATTAAATATAAATTTATTAACCATGAAAGTACTCAATTTTGAAACTAGGAAGAGGTCCCAGCTTCCTTCCTCATTTTTTTATCAAGCTTATGTGTACCTGGTCATGTAACAGATGATCTGTTGCTTAATGTAGGCACTTAGATAACTGAATCAGATTTTCATGTGGTAGTAAATTGACATTATCATCCAAGAAAAGTCTATTGATGGGATCCGAAGGGCCGGCAGCAGTAACCATCCACGTGACTGGTTTTAAGAAATTTCATGGAGTTTCAGAGAATCCAACTGAAACAATTGTTAGTAATTTAAAAGAATATACAGAAAAGAAAGGTTTGTCAAAAGGTGTAATTCTAGGAAGCTGTAGTGTCCTCAAGACCGCAGGACAGGGAGCACTCACTCGACTATACCAGACATTGCGATCTGCCTTGCCCGGGAAGGATTCTGAATCTTCTTGTTCTGGGAGAATTATTTGGGTTAGTCACTCACTTTTAGTTGTTTATTAATAGCTTATTTTCATACGTTATGTCAACAGTGATTGCAACAATGATTTTCATTATGGAATAATTCGTTTTAGCTTTTCGTATAGCAGGCCGAAGCCTTTTCTGGTACCTGCTTAATGCATAAAAAGGGTCTTATTATTGTGATTATAACTTTCGCGTTGTAACCTGCATTTCATCTATTCTCAAAAAATGCCAAAAGTGAAAGGGGTAAAATATCTGTAATGTGATGTGGATAATGTACCAGCTAATTCCATTGTAAAAATTCATGTTTTCGCCTAAAGGATCGGGATCTATGATTATCCAATCAGGTAAAACCAAGGTTGTCCATTTCTATCCGGACATCTTTTTTGTGCTTCCTTTGTACATGAACAAAGCACTTTTGCAATAAGGCTGAATTTTATGCATTGTTTTTTGGGGATTTCAATTTTCAACAGATGTTATCTTAATTACTTGTCTTTGGTGCAATTAAACTCTTTGCCTGACAAACTCAAGCTTCGCATTTCTTGGTCATTGTTACAACATTATTCAGCTACATTTTGGAGTCAATAGTGGTGCGAGTAGATTTGCTATTGAGCGTCAAGCTGCCAACGAAGCTACTTTCCGTTGCCCTGATGAGATGGGATGGAAACCTCAGGTTGGATATAACCCTTTTCCACTTTTATGGTGCATGTGCAATTTGGTATGCCTGCCTCTTCTCAAACTTTCTTCCTTTTCATAACACTATGTTTTGATTGCAGAAAGTACCCATAGTTGCTGCAGATGGTGGAATTTCACGTGTGTGAGAGGTAGTATTCGTTAAAGTTTATTTTGTTGCATAGCATGGTTAGAATTACACTCGAACCCGAAAGGCCGAAACTATTCATCTCTTACCTCCATACTCAAGTATTTTCCTCCATTACCTCCGTGCAGGCTTCTCTTCCCGTTGATGAGATTACAAAGTCCTTAACAAAGAAGGGATTTGATGTGATAACCTCTGATGATGCAGGAAGGTTTGTGTGCAATTATGTTTACTATCACTCCCTTTGATTTGCCGAGCAGAGTGGGGTCAAATCTCTGTTTGTCCATGTCCCTCTCTTCTTGACGATAGACGAGGAGACCCAAATGAAGTTCGCTGCTTCCTTGTTGGAGGTACTTGCTTCTCTATGTCCATAACATCCTGCATCCACTTGTCTTATGTCTGGAAATTAATACATTTGTAAGGTTGTATGTGAAGGTTGATGGAAGGATGCATGTTTATTGAAACGCTTTAATAAAAAGGAAAAGTGTATGTGAATGAATAAAAATGTATTTCAGTACATACACCACACCATATGTACTTCTTTTGTTTATCTAAATACTTCTTCTGTTGCTTGGAAATTTCTCTGAATCGTTGTGTTAATAAGTCAATAAACTCCTGTTTGCTTCTACTACCAGAGACATTTGCCTATTCTACTCGCTTTCAAGTATATCTTCTTGCACTTTTTCTTATCCCTTTTAGTAATTTTGCTCTGTTATCATTCCAGCTAAAGATTAATGTTAGGTTGAACCATCAGTCGATGTAGTGCAGAAACTAAAACGAATTAGGATTGAACTTATAACGTTCAGGGGAGGTTTTGCATACTTTCACCAACACATTTCCGCCTTCACCCTTGCTGCTTAAACGAGTTTCGTGCTAGACGATTATCTGTTGCATATCTTTTCATGATGTGTTGGCTGGAGTATGTTGGTGGGTTTATTTTGTGTTTTCAGATATTGTAATTAAGGGAATGGGTTATGGCTCAACCATTGTGCATGAAGCATAGTTTGAGATACCATAAAAAGATAACCTTTCTTTACTAGGACTGGATTGAGTTTCATACAACTTAACTGTCCATCATTTGTTTTTCCCTTTCATCTTGTATATTTTACATAATAATCTGTTTCAACACCTGCCCACATAAGTTTGTGTTATCAATGGTGACATTAGTTTCCTCCAAGCAATAGACTGGCGGAATAGTTTGTGCGAGGATAGTTCCATGAGCATTCCAGCAATAGGGATTCGCCACGACATGTCCACGGGTGGCGGGCTGCAGCTCTACTTGTGCCAGTGTAAGGTTTATGCATGGAGTTGAGTCACTACAAGCGAAACTCATCGGTGGACTTCTAACATCATACGAGCCCTTAATGTTAACGTACGAGATGTCATTAATCACAACTGCACTTGTTTGGTTACTGCAGTTTTTGGTGAGGCAATAGTACTGGTCTATGATAATCGGGTTGCGAACAGCTTCCATGCTGATGTTACGAAATTCGACTTTCGAGACACAGCCCGATCCGCCTTGCCAGGTTTTAATGCGGACGCCATTGTCGGAATGCTGTATTACCGACTCTGAAACCGTGATGTTCGAAACACAGGCTCGGGAATGATTGACCCCCAGACTACCAATGCTTCAATAAGAGATGAAAAAGATGTTAGCCCAACCTATGAATGTTTACTCGTATAGAACTGAAACTTGATAATGATGCGAACAAAAAGAGAAAGAAGTAGCCCCTCCAGCCGGCATTGATGTTTGATATGTTAAGAAATCACATGGCAACCCCAAACCCTAGCTTTTAACTGTTTTGCATACCTTATTCCATGACTTGGACCACAAGTTATGTTCGTTATATCAACATCATAGCAACCAGCTCCAATTGATACACAATCATCACCTAACAACACATATATGGAAGACCTGTAAGCGCTCTGTTTTGAGTTTTTGATTCCATATATGCTCAAGATGTACTAAAAATCATAAAGAAAACCCACCGTTCGATATGAAGGAATTATATATCTGCACATTATTTGTGTTCTCGATGTGAATTCCATCTGTGTTGGGACTTTGGGCCGGTGTTTTTATAGTCAGTGATTCTACACGAACGCCGTGGCAGGCATCAAATCTGAAATGGAACTGTGGACTGTTCTTGATTTTGAGTCCTTTAACAGTCAAGTTTGAGCTCATGAAAAACCTTATAGCCTGCATTTGAAAACCCCATAGATAAATCTTCAGAAAAAATGAAGAAAGATTAAGTGCTAGGCTCAGGTGTACTTACAACAGGGCTATCACAGGGACCAGGCATTGTTGTTCCATTAATTCCCTGCTTAGCAGATATATATTATGTTAGTTATGGACTTTACTGGTGAAATAGAAACAGGCATGTTAAACGTGACTAAATTGGATTACTTTGTGAGGTTTGCAGGGAAGATTCCACCATTTCTCTCCTTTTCCATCTACAAGGCCACCGCCTTGCATTAACATTCCATTGACTCTGTAGAAGACAAGCCATTGCCTTTTGCTGGTATTTCTTGGCCAAGAATCAGGTCCGTTAGGTGGCATTATGGTTCCATCAATCTTTGAACCAAAATCGAAACAAGTAAATGGCTGATTATCACAGAACAAGCTCCATGCTAAACTGAAATGGCAAAATGTTCATTACCTGAAACACAAGGCCAACAGTCTTACAAGGACCTGCAAAGATCGTAGATTGTAACATGAAGGAATAACCATCCGGGACTAGAAGAACCGCGGATTCGAGTTCGCAAGCCGTGTCCCAAGTCAGCTTAAACGCTTGAGTATCGTCGGCAACACCATCTCCGGTAGCACCAAAATCAAGCACATTGAAGACACTGTACCTTGGACCCGCAACAGCAGCAGCTTCTGGCGCAGGTGAAGGAGGGACAGAAACGTGAGATACAAGGTGGTGGAATTGCTCGTGTTCCGGGTAGCCATGGTGATGTTTGGTTTGAATGGTAACAAAGTAAAGGCATGAAAAGATAAAGAAAAGCAAGACAAGAACTCGATGGAAGGGCATACTGAGCTTAAACTTTAGCTTCAATGAAAACATGTGGGGTGTAAGGGAAGAGTACCCTCTACTTATAGGGCAAAGCCGGCAACAATATCCTAGGTTTGGCCTATGTACTAGGTACTATAGCCATTAACCAAGTTCTTTGTCACTTGTTATGCTTTGCCTAAAGATCTCATGGAAGTTAAACCAACAAGGTCCCCCACGTTTCTGGAAGCAGGGTTTTAAAAAATGATCCGCGACTGCGATTTCAGCCGTAATATAACGGTTTCGCCGCTGTCCGAATTACCCGCGATGGCCGCAATCACGATAAATCCGAAATAACCGAAACGGCGACCGCGACCGCGATTTAAAACCCTATATGGAAGTTGAATTTAGTAACCAAAGTGAGTTGAAAAGAATTGAGTTGCACCCCATTGTAAATTGTGGGCATCAATTAGACTATTGTGGCACGAAATCGACCCAGTTCCATTCTATAATATATAGGGTTGGCCTCATGCTAGAACATATTGGAAGTAAAATGATAAAAGGTTAAAGGGAATGTGCCAATATGGAGATATGATATGGGTAAGTTGTAATATTTGCAGAACTGTGTTTCTTCTGGTCCAGTTTTTGTTTATTCTAGAGAGGGGGGAGTTTCGCCATATTTTGGGATTAAAAAAAAAAAAAAGCTATACGACCTCATTTGGTAGGGGTTTTGCGGCACTGCTTTGGAATTTACATGCGGAAAAAGGCTTTCCACTGTTATGGGGAGAAATCAGGATCAAATATGATAGAGACAAGATATTTAATTTTAAAATAATATGAACTTATTATATATTTTAATCTAAAAATTTGAAGAGTAACAATCCAATATTATTTAAATTAAAATACTATTAAACCAAAAATTTTGAAAAGGACAAAATCCTCTCCCACTCCTTATATAGCTCCGTCCCTGCTCTATTGTGAATGAGAAGCTTTACCATACGAGACTGTTATGTGAGAAATTATTAATTTTATATGTTTTTATAACTGTTAAATAACAATAAACGTAAAATTGAAAGTTCAAAATTTGAATAAGAATCTCTTTAGCTTTTGTTTAATTAACGTCACTATTAATCTTAATATTAATTGCTTTATTAATTTTCTTATTTTTTTAATACTATGTAATTTATTTATTTTTCTTTAGGCTTTTATTCATTTTAAATAACAATATTTATTTTTGTGATACATTTTTCTCTACTCTATTTACACGTGTTTTCTTTATTCTTATGACACGATCTTTATGATTTTTTATACATTTTTCGTATACCTCATTCATTTTGGTGTTCGTACAAAAATCATCACAATATTTATTTTTTGGTCTTAGTCATTTTGGTGCTCGCACAAAAACATCACAACATTTATTTTCTGATTGGTCTGTCGGGTCACATATAGTCAGATTCCCTTTTTGGTAAAGTTGTTTGCCAATATAATCAAAATTGTTTAGCAAAACAGTCTACTAGATAGTTTAGTTTACTCACCACTTCTTTATTATTTCGTAAAACATCTCGTTCGACAGAAACAAAGAGTTTTTATAAAGATTACTAAATTCTTTTGATATTGATTGTCATTCTCACATGATTTTATTTTTCTTTATATATTTGGATTTAATGTTTTTATTTTTGTATGATATTTTGAGTGGCTATTATTTTAACTTTTCTCTTCATGTTCGAGTGCGTTACAATTATGTTTCTTTCTATTTCTTTTATTAAAATCTAATTGACAATGTTAAAAAATATTTTGAAAGAAGAAAAATATAAAAATCAATATAATAAATTAAAGTATGAATATTCAATTTCAAATTTTGAAATGACATTTAAACTTAAATTCTAATGAGAATTATCATATTTCAAGCTCATGGCCAACACCAACGTTTCCTAATACGCTCTCAGGAAACATGTTTTTTTTTTGTCCTAATACCTAAAACGGGTCAATTATTTAGGGTATTGTCTCAGCTTTTATTTTGGAAAATACAACATTTACTATAGTGTATTACGGACTTGTCACTTCGAGGTGATGAGTTTCTCAGATATTATTTTTAAATGGTCCTTGAGTAGTCAGTCTTAGTGGGCTATTATTAAAAATTATTTTTTTTAAATTATAAAATAAAAATAAAATTAAAAAATAGATAAAAATCATCACCTCGAGGTGACGAGTTTGGCCGAATAAAATTTAGAAAAAATTAAAATAAAAAATAATTTTATTTATATTTTAAAAATATAAAATAAATAAATAATTGCAAAAAATAAATTATTTACAGAAAAATTGCAGAAGAAAATTTATCTATCTTTTCTAAGTTCTTGATGATGCTAAGGAGTTGTCGAGTACGCAGGGGTCGTAGGCATTGATCGTCATCGTCTTGTCGAGGAGGTATACTTAACATACTCTGAGATCCACCTACGAAATACGGTGATGGGCGTATGGTATTTGACGCCATCATTACCGTAACTGATTCGACTTGGCTGCTACTTCAGTTCCATATAAGATATGATCCTACTCACCCGCAACCTCATGTTCTCTCGAAGATGATTGAGTGTATTGCGGTGCATCCCATGAACCTCCAGCCCAAGTCGATCGAGTCTTGGTTGAAGTATGAAATGGAGGATAGAAACTGAAACTAGCCTGAGATGCATAGTAGTACTCTTCAGCAGCATATGCTGAAGCAAAAGAAGAAGATGACGATGCTTTTTTCTTAGACTTGGACTTGGCGTATGTATCCTGATGATGTTACCATTCTCCCATCTCTTTCAGTGTCATAAGATATGGTTTTCCATTTGCTTCATAGTTTCGGAAATAAGGAGAATATTCGAAATCTAGGTCCAACGGTGTAATGTCGTGACGCGGGGCAACAATAGTTCACGCTGATTCCAGAGGTAGATGTAGTAAGCGTGCCTCATCGACCAATTTTCGTTATGTCTCTCACGCGTTTAGATTGTATGGAGCACATCCGTATTAACTATTTACGTAGGAATAAGTTGGTGCGACACAAAATGTCGCATCACTCTATCAACGGTGTGTCACTCAATAATCGTATAATGCAATAACGACATCATGGCACACCATAACCTAAAAAATTACGCTGGCAATATATCATTGATATCGTCTTCAATATACAGGATCCAAGAGAGCTCTAAATATTAAATATCAAAGTTAATATATATAAAGATAAAAAAAAATCAAAAGAAATAGTAAAAATATTGTATGTCATACCTCATATCGAATGGAGATGTCAATCATCATCTGTATATCTCGTGTAGTGGCACTCGCCAACTTCATCTCAGATATTTTATGACACCATATAAAATATTTAAAAATAAAAAAATATAAACAAATAAAAAAATAATTAAAAATTTGAAATGAAAAAAAGGTTAAATAAATGAAGTTAAACAATTGCCTTGCAACCACCGGAAACTCAATCGAGACTGATGTAATTGGCGTAAGAAATGGGAATCAATACCAAGCCCATGATTGTAGCAGTATCAGACAGCATGCTACACCAGCTTTTAGACCCGGTTGGACAATTGCAGCCTTGCTAAGCTCCAAGTACAAAAAGGTTTCTAGTCGAGCCCCAACTAGTATTACGACACACAATGAAGTCTCGTAAATATTACGTATACTGAGTTTGCGCCAAATTACCATATTTATCCGGTAATAATACCCCTCCTATCACTTGGAGAAGAAATGCTAAGAACGCGAAAATAACCTTCGCCTCGGTAGACTTAGTTGTCACTTGGAATTAGGATTCCAACCATATTATCCTTACTCGATAGCTCTCGATGACATCGGATGTTGCCCATTTTCCCAAAACTTCGTAGACCAACGTCGTGGGGTCGTAAATGTTCTGGGTCACATCGGGGGCTCCATTCACAGGAACACCGAGTTGGTAAGCGAAGTCTTCCAAAGTAATCGTTATTTCACCACTTGGGAAATGGAACGTGTGTGTCTCAGGCCGCCAACATTCGATCAGAGACTCAATCAATGTTGGGTACACCTTGAAGCCACATAAAAATATGGCCGAAAATAGGATGGATTGTTGTAGATATATCAGTATCCATTGATGCGGCTCTCTTTTATGTCATCCCCTGCTTACGAATATTTTATTCGTCATCCAACCGACATTGGATCGACGAAACATGAACGTTATCCAAGCACAACATATATTATCGGGTTGCCCTTTTTCGAGATTTTCACTTAACATATGATTTTTTCAATTTTTTGGATTTAAGGTTTGGTGAACCAAAATCCCAAACCCCTATTTATAGTCTTACCCTAAACGGTTAGAAATTTCAAATTTTCGGTCGAACTTGTCATCTCAAGGTAAGTTCCAAGTGACCGTTGTTGACCGTTGCACCATTTTTATGTTGACCAACGACTACAAAACTGCTATTTTTTAATTTCAATGAACTCGCCTTGAGGTGACTAGTTCCACCTATTTTTTTGGAATTTATAATTTTTTTATTTTGTAATTTTTTTAAAATAATTAATTTTTAAATAGACTCATCACCTTGGCATGATGAGTCATATTAATGACAATAAAATAACGATCTATGTGGGGTCCATTATTCAAGGACCATTTAAAAATAATATCCGAGAAAACTCGTCACCTTGATATGAAGAGTTTCATGTGCACTATAACAATTGTCATATATTCCAAAATAAAAGTTGGGGAGACCCAATACCTAAATAATTGACTCGCTTGGGGTATTGGGCCAAAAATCCCTCAACAAACTAAACTTGGTCCAACTCTTCTTGCCCACTTCTTTTAATTACACT